GTTGTATTTGAGATATTAGTTGATATATTGTTTTGTTGATATGAGTTATTGTATACGATTTTGGGAGATTTTGTAATAGTACATAATTTGTTATCTTTGTGGAAGTTTGATGCAAAGGGAATTTTTGAAATATAAACTTCGATTAATTTTGACAAAAAAATAAATATTTTCATAAAAGGTGAGCATCACTGGAGAAATCCGTGGTGTTGGTTTTCCATGTCCCTTAAAATGTGGAGGGTGGTTAGGTCTACTACTACTCAATTTTTCTTGGTTTTGGTTTGAGGTGAATTGACGGTCGGTAGAAAACATCCCGGCTTTTGAGTAGTAGTGGTAGTAGTAGCTCCTAATCATTCAGTTTTTGAGGTGGGATAGTTGGTAGAAAACATCCCGACTACCCGGATCGACTTACTAACCCGGAGGGCTTGGAATATCTCTAGGGGGTGTGCACACTTAAAGTAGTTGTTTCCGTTTCCAAGGAGCAGTTGTGGTACCGGCGATAGTTCCGGGGTGGCCGTACATAACAACGGATCACCGGGCTCAACCAGAGTGTTGAGCACCGCCCTTCTAAATTACAAGGAAGTTAGTTACAAAGTGATTTTTGGAGAAATTCAATAGAGGGGAAATTTTGGTGTTTCATGTATTTTGGAATTATTATGATTCACGAGTTATGTGATTGTGATTGTGTATATATATCGTTTGCTTATGATTTATAAATTGTTTTGAAAATATTTTTATACTAATGGTTGTATGAATTTATATATATACTATTATTATTATTATTTTAAAAGGTTAGGTGAGGTGAGACTTACTTAGCATTATTGCTAATGTTTGTTTCTTTTATTTTTCTTTCTGTACATGATTTTTGTTCAGGTGTTGAGTTGATCGATGTTGAAGTTGATTTCGAGAGAGAGCTTTCGCTAGAAAACATTATTAGTAAATCATTGTAAATTTCTTTTTCAATAACTTTAATTAGTGAACTTTTGATTTTGAAGTTTAAGTTGTTTTAGCCTGTGCACTCTGTTAAGAGAGAACCGAGTGTGGCGGTAGCACCCCTATTTCCCTTTGAATTTTCCGCTGCACATTTTGTGATGTTTTCAATTAAAGTTAATAATACTTTACAATAAATCATTATTTAAATGTATTTTTGGGTGGGAAATTTGGGGGTGTTACAAGTTGGTATCAGAGCCTGGTTTTCAAATTGGGTATTTTCAAACAAAATTTTCCCTTAAGTAGCTATGATTTTCCAAGAGAAACAAAATTCTAAACTTTTCTGAGATTTTCTAAAATTGGTATTAGAGCTAATGGTTTTTCTAGGAGGATTTTTCAAAACGTTTTTCAAAAAAGTTTTCTAATCAGTTTTTCAAAAGTTTTCTAATGTTTCCTAAATTTCCTTAAGTGATACCAACAAGTTGGTATCGCAGCAATGTTTTTTTTTTGGGGGGGGGGGGGGGGGGGATTTTTCAAAATGATTTTTTTTAAAAGGGGTTCTAATTAATTTCTCAAAAAGTTTTCTAATATTTTTCAAAGGGGGCTTTTCCAATATGTTTTTGTAAAATATTAGGAGAATAAATGATTAGAGAATAAGCAAGGATTTCTAGGATTAAAATGAAAGTTTTAGGACCGTGGTGAGGCTGTGAGACTTTGACTTTTGATTTTCATTAAGTTTGTTCTTTTAATTGATTGAGATATGCTTTTGGTTTTGATATGTTGTTATGGACTTAGAGAAACTTTCCAGGTATGTCTTTGGTGAAGCTATTAGTTAAGGTAGTATAATTATGAGTAGTGCTCGATCTTATTCGTATCACAATCTTTTCAAGAATACAATGACGCCTACGAAGGACAACATGGAAGACAATGATGCTGTTCAAGAAGACAATGATGCCTACAAGGGACAACGTGAAAGCATATGACGTCACATCAACGAACGCGGAGCTGGATCAAGGTTTGGGACAACTTACTCAACTCATCTAGATCGTCGCAAATATGTTACCTCAAAATCAACGCCAACATTGTCCCAATAAGCGCAATGATATCGGCAAACGAGTAGTTGGGCGTAACCCCCCCCCCCCCCCCCCCCCAACTTATTTTAAGCGAATAAGACTCTTGAGTAAGTTAAGTGCTTCGGGGACGAAGCGTCTTTTTAAGGGGGTAGAATGTGACACCCTAATTTTTTTAAAAAATAAAAATACTATAATAAAATAAAATAAATGTAAATTAGATATAATGGGTTTAATAAAAAAAATATATACTAAATATTAAATCAGATAAAATCTTTTTGATAATAATAAACCATATATAATTTATCTCATAACCATTCAACCAAATGTTAAAAAAAATGAAATAAAGTATTCACTCAAAACATATAACGTTATTAATATAAAGCGTACGTTATTAACTTATACGTAGTAATATACTACATGCATATGTATAACATGCATGCATCCATACAGTTAACACCTAAACCATTTACATAAACATGCATACATATCATATATACTCCTAAGTACGTATATTCACATGCATACATGATACATTGCTCATACAATATACACATTACACATATAATACTTATACTACGTCAACGTGCGACGCATGAGCGAACCAAACGGACAACCTTTGTTCTACGCAATGGAAAGACCAATAATAAAAATAATTATTATAATAATAATTATAATAATAATAATAATAATAATAATAATAATAATAAATAACAATAAATGAGAGAATTTCAACGGATGTAACGCACGACCTAGAATATTCTCCTGTGAGTATACATATAGTCGTTGTTGCGATGGAAAACGGGCACCGAAGAAAACGAGAACCTGCATATATAGTGCATACATATACATAGACGTACCAACGCATGTACATATACTATACACTACACCACTTTATTCTACTAAAACTAACGAGAGAATGGCGGGACGAACAGCCTGGTCTGCTGCGTCATCGTCAAGGAAGAAGAACGACCACCAGTGAGGGCTGAGCCGACGTTTATCTTCGCCAGAGTGACGTTGAAGGGCTGCACACCGTTTCACAACAGAAGTGGAGGGGTCGCCAGTCTGCGTCACTGGAGAGGAAGCACTGCCGCTAACTTGCTGAAACCATAGCGAACTGCTACCGCTGATCATCACCGTTGCCGGAATAGGAGCTCGTGCGCCAGACCGAAGAAGGAAGCTGCCCCCGATGTATTCGCCGGAGTACTGCTGCCGGACTGATTTCACGCTGGATGAAGGGATCAATTCTGCCGCAACTTGAGCAGACCTGTTGCCGCCGAAGGGCGCCACCTGCGCACGTCGACTGAGTTTCGACGAATGCGACGATTTCACAAGGTGAATTGAGTGAGGTGCAAAGTAGAAGAATTTGTTAGAGTACTTGGAGATTGAGGTAAGTTTCACATCAACCGAAATTAGTTCTTTTTCTTCGTGATTTCTTTTAAATATTTTTGTGTGCATATTTGAGAATTGAATTTATATGTGCTGAATTTGAGTGAATATTATTATATGAAAGGGTTGTATTTGAGATATTAGTTGATATATTGTTTTGTTGATATGAGTTATTGTATACGATTTTGGGAGATTTTGTAATAGTACATAATTTGTTATCTTTGTGGAAGTTTGATGCAAAGGGAATTTTTGAAGTATAAACTTCGATTAATTTTGAGAAAAAAATAAATATTTTCATAAAAGGTGAGCATCACGGGAGAAATCCGTGGTGTTGGTTTTCCATGTCCTTTAAAATGTGGAGGGTGGTTAGGTCTACTACTACTCAATTTTTGTTGGTTTTGGTTTGAGGTGAATTGACGGTCGGTAGAAAACATCCCGGTTTTTGAGTAGTAGTGGTAGTAGTAGCTCCTAATCATTCAGTTTTTGAGGTGGGGTAGTTGGTAGAAAACATCCCGACTACCCGGATCGACTTACTAACCCGGAGGACTTGGAATACCTCTAGGGGGGGTGCACACTTAAAGTAGTTGTTTCCGTTTCCAAGGAGCAGTTGTGGTACCGGCGATAGTTTCGGGGTGGCCGTACATAACAACGGATCACCGGGCTCAACCAGAGTGTTGAGCACCGCCCTTCTAAATTACAAGGAAGTTAGTTACAAAGTGATTTTTGGAGAAATTCAATAGAGGGGAAATTTTGGTGTTTCATGTATTTTGGAATTATTATGATTCACGAGTTATGTGATTGTGATTGTGTATATATATCGTTTGCTTATGATTTATAAATTGTTTTGAAAATATTTTTATACTAATGGTTGTATGAATTTATATATATACTATTATTATTATTTTAAAAGGTTAGGTGAGACTTACTTAGCATTATTGCTAATGTTTGTTTCTTTTATTTTTCTTTCTGTACATGATTTTTGTTCAGGTGTTGAGTTGATCGATGTTGAAGTTGATTTCGAGAGAGATCTTTCGCTAGAAAACATTATTAGTAAATCATTGTAAATTTCTTTTTCAATAACTTTAATCAGTGAACTTTTGATTTTGAAGTTTAAGTTGTTTTAGCCTGTGCACTCGGTTAAGAGAGAACCGAGTGTGGCGGTAGCACCCCTATTTCCCTTTGAAGTTTCCGCTGCACATTTTGTGATGTTTTCAAATAAAGTTAATAATACTTTACAATAAATCATTATTTAAATGTATTTTTGGGTGGGAAATTTGGGGGTGTTACAAGTTGGTATCAGAGCCAGGTTTTCAAATTGGGTATTTTCAAACAAAATTTTCCCTTAAGTAGCTATGATTTTCCAAGAAAAACAAAATTCTAAACTTTTCTGAGATTTTCTAAAATTGGTATTAGAGCTAATGGTTTTTCTAGGAGGATTTTCAAAACGTTTTTCAAAAAAGTTTTCTAATCAGTTTTTCAAAAGTTTTCTAATGTTTCCTAAATTTCCTTAAGTGATACCAACAAGTTGGTATCAGAGCAATGTTTTTTTTTTTGGGGGGGGGGGGGGGCTGGGGATTTTTCAAAATGATTTTTTTTAAAAGGATTTCTAATTAATTTCTCAAAAAGTTTTCTGATATTTTTCAAAGGGGGCTTTTCCAATATGTTTTTGTAAAATATTAGGAGAATAAATGATTAGAGAATAAGCAAGGACTTCTAGGATTAAAATGAAAGTTTTAGGACCGTGGTGAGGCTGTGAGACTTTGACTTTTGATTTTCATTAAGTTTGTTGTTCTTTTAATTGATTGAGATATGCTTTTGGTTTTGATATGTTGTTATGGACTTAGAGAAACTTTCCAGGTATGTCTTTGGTGAAGCTATTAGTTAAGGTAGTATAATTATGAGTAGTGCTCGATCTTATTCGTATCGCAATCTTTTCAAGAATACAATGACGCCTACGAAGGACAGGTGATAGAAGTTGCCTAACTGAGTCCAGAAATTCAAAGGACCTAGAGTTACCTTTGGAGGTAATGACAAAGAAGGTCAAACAAAAGGAAGAGGGAAGCTGATCAAGAACCAGATATTCATTGATGATGTCTCATATGTCATAGGACTGAAGTTCAACTTGCTGAGTGCTAGCCAATTCTGTGACAAAGGCTACACCGTTGAATTCACTAAGGACTTCTGCTATGTGAAGCATGAGACAACAAAAGAAGTGGTTCTTACAGCATCAATGAAGAAGAACATCTATGTGCTTGATTGGAACACTGCAAAGGATGGAGTTTGCCTGATAGCCAAGGGAGATTCAAAACTAAGCTGGGACTGGCACAAGAAGCTTAGCCATTTGAACTTCAAAACAATCAACAAACTGGAAAGAGAACACATTGTTGATGGACTGGCAGACATAGTTTACAAGAAAGAGACCATCTGCAGTGCATGCCAGAAGGGAAAACAACAGAAGAACTCGTTCAAACCCATTGCTGGAGATCTTTCTACAAGTCCTTTAAATATGATCCACATGGATTTATTTGGACCTGTTGAGACTCCAAGTGTTGGTGGCAAGAAATACACTCTAGTCATGGTTGATGACTATTCCAGATATACATGGACTATCTTTCTATCAAAGAAGAATGAAACTCTTCAGAAGTTGCCATCTCTGTTAAAGCAACTTCAGACTGAGAAGAACTTGAAGGTTAAGACAATCAGGTCTGACAGAGGAACTGAATTTGTCAACCAAGTCATAAAGGACTTCTGTGATCAAAATGGAACCTTTCATCAACTCTCTGCCGCCAGAACCCCTCAGCAGAATGGCGTAGCAGAAAGGAGGAACAGAACATTAAAAGAAGCTGCAAGGACAATGATTGCAGAATCTGGACTACCTATGAGATACTGGGCTGAAGCAATCAACACTGCATGCTATACCCAGAACAGAAGCATGATCAACAAGAATCACCAGAAGACCCCTTATTAACTCTGGAAAGGAAGAAAACCCAACATTAGCTACTTTCATGTGTTTGGATGCAAGTGCTACATCCTTAACAATGGAAAGGAGCATCTGAAATTCTTTCAAGAGAAAGCTGATGAAGGTATCTTTATAGGCTATTCAAACACCAGTAAAGCCTATAGAGTACTCAACAGAAGGACTCTACATGTTGAAGAGTCTATACATGTGAAATTTGATGGTAGCACCTCTGTTAAAGAAGTAACAGAGATCCTGAAAGAAGTCAGCGTAGAAGACAGAACACCTGAACCAACAGAAGAGGTAGCAGATAACCCTGCATTTCCAACACCTGCACCAAACCCCCTTCTGTTGAATGAAGATGAAGATTCAGAAGATGAAGAACCAGAGAGACCCAGACAACAACTGACAGAACCTGATCTGACATGGTTAAGAGACCATCCCCCTAATCAAGTAATTGGACATATCAGAAGTGGTGTGCAGACTAGATCAGCATCAACAAGGAGAGAAGCAATGCTTGTCTGCTATATATCTTAGATGGAACCCATGACTGTAGAAGAAGCTCTTGCAGATTCAGACTAGATCAATGCAATGCAAGAAGAGCTTACTCAATTTGAAAGGAACAAAATATGAGAACTTGTTCCTAGGCCAAAGCACCAGAATGTCATTGGAACAAAATGGGTATTCAAGAACAAAGCTGATGAAGATGGTAACATTGTAAGGAATAAAGCAAGGCTGGTAGCCAAGGGATACTGTCAAGAAGAAGGAATAGATTTTGATGAGACTTTTGCACCAGTTGCTAGACTGGAAGCCATCAGAATATTTCTAGCCTATGTTGCCTACAACAACATCAAGGTCTACCAGATGGATGTCAAAAGCGCATTTCTGAATGGAGATCTTGAAGAAGAAGTTTTTGTGGAACAACCACCAGGTTTTGTCATTCCTACTCACTCTTCCTGTGTCTACAAGTTTAAAAAGGCCCTCTATAGTCTTAAGCAAGCTCCCAGAGCATGGTATGACACACTGTCCCTATTCCTAGTGAACCATGGGTTTACTAAGGGAAAGGTTGACAAAACTCTATTTCAAATCTCTGTTTCTAATCATATTCTGTTAGTACAAATATATGTGGATGATATTATATTTGGTAGTACTAATTCAGAACTGTGCAAGAAATTCTCTCAAGTAATGCAGAGTCAATTTGAAATGAGTATGATGGGAGAACTCAGCTACTTCCTAGGACTACAAGTCAAACAAGTTCCAGAAGGAATCTTTATCAATCAAGGGAAGTATACCAGAGACCTGATCAAGAAGTTTGGAGTGGAAGGCAAATCCTCGGTTAAGATTCCCATGAACACTTCACAAGGAATTGGTCCAGATGATGAAGGCAAAGATGTCGATGAAACTACCTACAGAGGAATCATAGGATCTCTGCTGTATCTGACTGCAAGCAGACCAGATATCTCATTCTCTGTTGGAATCTGTGCCAGATACGAATCAAAGCCCAAGGAGAGCCATCTTAGTGTTGCAAAGAGAATTATCAGATATATCAAAGGAAATCCAAATGCAGGCCTATGGTATCCAAAGGGAGGTAACTTTGAACTAATTGGTTACTCTGACTCAGATTTTGCAGGTTGCAGATTAGACAGGAAGAGCACCTCTGGTCACTGCCAAATGCTAGGAGGAAGGCTTGTTTCCTGGTTTAGCAAGAAGCAGAATTCAATCTCAACCAGTACAGAAGAAGCTGAATACATTGCAGCTGGGAGTTGCTGTGCTCAGCTACTCTGGATGAAGCAACAGCTGAAGGACTATGACATTCAAGCAAAGGAGATCAAATTGCTTTGTGACAACACTAGTGCCATTGCCATCACTCAGAATCCAGTCCTTCACTCCAGGACAAAGCACATTAAGATCAGACATCACTTCATCAGAGATCATGTTGAAAAGAAGCACATATGCATGGAGCATGTGCCAACAGAAGACCAGCTTGCAGACATTCTGACAAAGCCTCTGCCTGAGGCTAGATTCAACAAACTGAGAGAGGAATTGGGAATGATGGATGAAATTCCAAGAGAAAGTTGAAAAGGAAGGCCCTCTGTTGCAAAATTCCTGCTAACAGAATACCTGTTGCAGAACCTCTTCTGTTAACCTCTTCTGTTCTCTATCCTGAACAGAGAACCTCCGTTCCCGACAGAACACCTCTGCAACAGAACCCCCCCTTTTCTTATCCTCAGAAAACCTTACCTCGAACAGAAGGTTGTAGACTTAGAAAATTTGGAGAAACCGGGTGACCTAGTAACTTAATGAAGGTCTTTTACCCTTTTACCCTTAAAACGGTATACAGCCGCAAAATATTTACTACGCCCCTTTTTCCATTTATTGGTACCTCGAAACCGTAAATAATCTCAAGTGTCCACTAACCTGAACCCATATATTCCTCTTCCTCAAACCTAAAACGTTACTGCTCTCATTACTCTCAAATTCTCAAACCTCCATAGCTCTCAAGTTCTCAGAAACTTTTCCCTGTTCTAATGGCTTTCATCAACATCAACGACCTCACCAAGGAAGAAATCAACATCTTGGTCACTAACATCTATACTGGGATGAACTGCGATCTTTCCGCACTCCCTGAACTTGCAGCAAATCATGAAACGATGATGAAAATCATCAAGGGAATGGAAGAATCACAACTAAACAAGGTTGTGGGCTATCATTTTGATTCCTACAGCACGAAGGACGTGGCAGAGTTCTATCTAAATGCTACATATGAAGGGGATACCATCAAGTCAAATGTCAATGGTGATGACATAACCATCACTCCTGAAATTATCAACGCTCTGTTTGGCGTAGTGGAGGATCCTCAAGAAGAAGGCATTGAAGGCTTCTTATCCCTAGACAGTGTCAAGGTCACTGTGGACAACTTTGTCCAACTCTACTGCCGACATGAAGTGGAGAGAGTTCCCAAACTGTACATGAAGAAGAATCTTCTTCAAAGTGACTATGAGAAGCTCGTCGACATCTTCCATAGGTGTGTCTGGAGCAAGAGCACCTCTACTGACGACATGACTGTTCTCAATGCAAAAGCTATTTTTGCAGTTCATCATGGGATGAACATCAACTGGGGACAGGTAATCATCAAATCCCTAATTGAGTTCATCAAGAAGAAAGACAAGGAAACCGGCCTTTTCAAAAACCCCATTGGTTATGGCCTTCTGTTATCTGAAACCCTGCTAAAGGCAAGGATAGGGTTGAGAAACCCTATTGAGGCAGACTACACCAAACTCCTTTTCCTCAATACCTCTGGTGACAGAAAGATTGCCCTCAAGGCTGAACAAAAGAGGCTGAGGACCCTGGAGTTTAACCGGGAGAAGCTTCAACAGAAATTCATCAAACCCAAGAAGGCTGGGAAGAAACAGCAGAAGCCCTCTACCCCATCAGAATCCGAAGAGGAGGAGGTTCTGGTCAGAAAATCTGTGAAAAAGGTTGTTTTGAAGAAGGCTGCCTGATAGTGTGAATTTCCTATCATGTATGTTTGTATTTTTAACTAGTTTTTATTAGTTCTAGTTGTGGAAATTACACATTTTTTGTGTAATACTTTATTTTCATAATTATTTGTAATTTGTTTAGATTAGGACTATTCTGAGCTAAACAGGTCAAAACTCATCTAAGGGATCAAGATGGGACCTCAAAAGATCAAGGAAAGTGCAAAGAGACATGAAAGATTTCGATTTGGAAAAATACTCGTATACCCGGTCGGGTATAGGCAATACCCGATCGGGTATTTGCTTGATTCGGTTGTCCAAATCAAATCTGGGAACAAAGGATCGTGGGAGCAAATTTTCGTAAAGATTTGTCACATACCCGATCGGGTAAACCGACATACCCGACCGGGTATGTCCAGAAATGTGGCTTTCCGGGAAATTTCCTAAGATACCCGATCGGGTATCCTATATACCCGGTCGGGTATCAGCCCCTGCAGCTCCCAAAAGCCTATAAATACACCCTTTTCCTTCACAATAAGATATCCAATTCCTTTGTACATCTAAGCTCAGTATAGAATAGCTCTTTCTTTATATTTTTCATCATGTTTAGTCTCCAAATGAGGAGCTAAACTCTTTCATCTTGGTTTTGCTACTTTGAAGCTTAATGAATTTGTAAGTAGTGAGTTATTTTCTTTAATCTTCTTCCTTGAATATTAATTCTTTCTTTCAAAATACTATCTCTATATCAAAGTTGGGGAGTGTTACTAAGATTACAATTAGTTAACATCTTGACATTGGTTATAGTAATAGCTATTTCTTCCTCTATGATAATATTGGGGAGTGTTACTAAGATGACAATTAGTTAACATCTTGATATTAATCATAGTAGGATTCATATATTTTAATATTCTTCCTTGAGTATTAATTAATTCCTATTCATATTTCATGTTAATATCTTAAACATTACTTAAAGTATCAACTAGTATTGTTTCTCATATTAATTATTACTAGAATCAATCGGTTAATACGTTTGTTATTAATCCGGTTCTTTCAACGGTAGTAAACTTGGAATATTAATGCATGCATCTCATGGTTAATATGCCAAGGGGAATTAATTATATTGATTAAACCAATAAACCGCTTGTGTTGAGGTTATCAATCTCAATCGTTTTCATCTTAAGTTTATTGCTACTATCAAGTTAATATACGGCGCTTGTTCTATATTGACTCGATAGTAAGTTTTATTAATGAACGCATCTCGTTATTAATAACTACCCTCGATGAACTGGATATACTCCTCGATTGAGTATTCGAGAGGAAGATAGTTAAAGATATAACCGGGATCGACGAACATTTCATTAAGTGGATAAAAGCGAAACCAAGTCTTCATCTCATTGAATTAAACTCATATAGGTTGTTTATCTTAGTGTCTTTAAAGCAAACAAATCTAAACCCCCCTTTTTGTTACTATTTATTTAAAAGAAACGTATTCCTTTCCCTGTGGATACGAACCTTACTACACTATACTACGTATTAGTGTTGTATTGATTAATTATTTTGAGTGCACCTAACGACAAGTGCACGTCAAATTTGGCGCCGTTGCCGGGGAAAGGCAATCATTTTTCTTTTTATTTTATCTCATAAAAATCAAAAACACAAAAAATTTATTTTTACAAAATAAAAAACTTGCTCTTCTATTTTCTGAGCTTACATGAGTTATGAGTATATGGATACCAACACTTCATCCTCAGAGAGTGAAATTTCCTTCTTGACTTCTCTAATAAAGGAATCTATCTTTAACTCAAAAGCTCAAGATGCCAAGACTTGCAACATTTGCATGTCTCACAGACATCTTACGGACTTCTGCCCAAAGATCCAAGAAGAATACATTGCACAAATTGATGATGTACCTCACATGAGGTATGATCCATTCTCCAACTCTAATATGTCCACGAAGGACATGGTTCGGGCTCTTGCTAACAGCGTAACCACCATGCAACAAAACATGGTGCAATTCCAAAATGAGACCAAGTCTAGCATTTTGAGCTTGGAATCTCAAGTGGGTCAAATAGCCGGAGTCGTGAGTAGGCTTGAAGCAAGGGATTCGGGAAAACTTTCCTCTCAAATAGAATGTGATCCTAGACAGCAAACTTTTGCAATCACATTGAAAAATGAAGAGGAAAAGCAAAAAGAGATCCAGGATCCAGAAGAAGTAGAGGAAGAAAAGGACACGGAGCTCCAACTGGTCAAAAAAGAGGATAATCTGAGCTTCAAGGTTAAATATCTATCCTTGTCATCTTTTGAGGTACCCCCATCAATTCTAAAAATCTTGAGGGAAACTCATAAACTTGAAATGGACAATGACATTTCTGAAATATTCTTCAAAATTGAGGAGTCGAAAAACTTTTTATTGATCATACTAAACGATAATTTCTTCCCATTCCTCCCACCACACGAATCAATGAAAATCTGGATATTTGATCCTGGAAAGATTTCCAAAGTGGAGAGTCGAGAAATTAAGCACTCCTATGGAAGTCCTAGGAGTGAAAGTGAGAAGAAAATAAACTATCATGATCCAAGTTTGAATGATTGAAAACAATGATAGCGTCGTGCCGCGACGTTAAATGAGGCGCTTCTTGGGAGGCAACCCATGCAAGGTACGTTTACTTGTTTTATTTTATTTTTACACATTTCAAAAAAGAAAAAAGAAAAAAAAGAGTTTTGTGCACCACGGCTTAATACCTGATCGGGCACATGTATATATCTGGTCGGGTATAAGAGAAAATAAATTTCAAAAACTACGGCGAGAAGAAGTCGATCGGGTATGAAAATCCCAGAAAGCGAAGAAAAGGAAGATACCCGATCGGGTATAGCCACTTACCCGACCGGGTATGCTTAAAACGTGCAATTTCAGAGCTCACTGCCTCGTGTAGTGATCGGGTATGAAAATCCCAAAAATCAAAGAAAAGGGAGATACCCGATCGGGTATAGCCACTTACCCGACCGGGTATGCTTAAAACGTGCAAATCTGTAGCTCACTGCCTCGCGTACCCGATCGGGTATACACACTTACCCGGTCGGGTAAGCGGGATTACTCAGCATTTTAATTCGAAAAGTCCCTTCTTCTTCCCAAATTCCTTCCCCAAATCCGACCAAACCCTCCCCAAACCTCCATAGCCGGTTCTTCTACCTCAAATTACTCCCTGAATTCTCCACCAAATCCCTCCAAACCACCACCAAAATCTTCCCCACATCCCCCTCTACACACCCATACCCATCAACACCACATTCTCTTCCAATTTCGTAGAGTCCGAAAAACCCAACCCCACCACATAAAAGTCCGAAATTTGGAACCCAAAATCCAAGTTTTCTAGCAAAAATGGCACCAAAGAGGACAAGAGGAGAAAGTTCTTCTTCAAGAGCACCGGTTCCCGGCTTTGAAAACATCATCATCACCTCATCGGCTCACCGGGAAAAAGTCTTGGCCCAAACTAAAAGAGAGGTACATCATTCCCGTTTTTTGTGTATGAATACTTTGGATGAGCTAGAAATTCTTGCTATGATGCTTCAATTAGGTGAATTGTTGGGAATGAGCAAAATTTTTGGGTTGAAATATAACCCAAATGATGAACTTGTGTATGAATTCTTGGGTTCCGTAGAGAGAATCAAAGATGATAATGATGATAGGGAGGATAAACTCACGTTTCGTTTATTCAATAAATCACATTCCATAACAAAACGTGAGTTTGCGGAGCACTTTGGCTTGCCCGTGCCACCACAAAATGCCCAAGAGCCCGACACCGGGTATGGCTTTGAATTGTGGAAAACAATGACGGGGGAAATGAACTTTAGCTCCAAAAATCTTGTCATAACTCATGTCCAACACCCAGTGCTACGCATTTTCTTGAAATACTTGGTTAGCTTTGTGTTTGGACGCCCCAACAATCACCAAGCACGAATAGGTGATATATGTATTCTAGCCAATGCACTGTTTGACATACCTCCCTTCCACTATAACATTGTGAACCGTATGTGGGAACATCTGTATAAAGAATGCACCGCCCAAAGAAAAATTTGGATAGGGGGCGTTATTCTTCACATAGCTACAAAATTCGGTTACGTAGACAATGCACCAATAGCCGAATTCTGTCTTTTTGACATAACACATCTGGGCAATTCAAAGGACATCAAGTTCTCTCATCGTGATTACAAGGGGAAAATCTTTTACAAATGGTCCATCTTCCCGAAACCCACTCGTTACTTCATGATCCCCTCCGAGGGGCTACCCACTATTCCATTCCGATTAGAACCACCTCTTGTGCACCACTATTGCCTCCCTCCAGCCATCCCACCATATTTTCAAAACCAAGAAGATGAACCCGCACAAGAACAAGCCCCTCCAATTCTTGAAGATATTCCAGCTCCACCTCACGACCAACCCCACTATGATCCGTATCAAACACAAGTGCTTGAGAACCAACGTGCTCTATTGGAAGGACTCCGGGATTTGAGCTTCCGGGTCAACCGCATGGACGAGGACAACCGACGGGCAATAGCCCCCATCTATGCTTACCATCATCAGCAGGGGCACTTCTCCTCTATACGTCCCCCAGTGCAGCACCCGTCATGGTATGACCCCTCTCAGTGGGGTAATTTTGGGGAGGACAGCGGTTACAGTGGAGGAGACTATGGTGGCGGTCAGCCTGGCTTTGACGGAGACGAGCACTAGGGACAGTGCTTCAAGCTAAGTGAGGGGGAATCACTCATTGGTACGTACTCAATTGTTTCAACCTTGTAACTTGCATTATCTTCTTTTTAAAAAAAAAGAAAAAAAAAGCAAACAAAAAAAAAAGGAAAAAAAAGGGAAATGCTAGTTAGGTTGAAAACCCAAAAAACGGGCAATCTAAGCAAAAAGGGCTTATAAAAAAAATGTTAATGAGTGAGTTAGAAAGGAACAAAACAAATTGTTGAATTGTTGAACTATTGAAGACATGAAAAACTTGTTAAATTGTTCAATTTAAATCTAATGTACAAACCTTGGTGGTCTTTTGCTCTTTCTTGTTAAATTGTTGAACTATTGAAGACATGAAAAACTTGTACACATTTGGCTTTACTCGAGGACGAGTAAAGAAACTAAGTGTGGGGGAGTTTGATAGTGTGAATTTCCTATCATGTATGTTTGTATTTTTAACTAGTTTTTATTAGTTCTAGTTGTGGAAATTACACATTTTTTGTGTAATACTTTATTTTCATAATTATTTGTAATTTGTTTAGATTAGGACTATTCTGAGCTAAACAGGTCAAAACTCATCCAAGGGATCAAGATGGGACCTCAAAAGATCAAGGAAAGTGCAAAGAGACGTGAAAGATTTCGATTTGGAAAAAATACTCGTATACCCGGTCGGGTATAGGCAATACCTGATCGGGTATTTGCTTGATTCGGTTGTCCAAATCAAATCTGGGAACAAAGGATCGTGGGAGCAAATTTTCGTAAAGATTTGTCACATACCCGATCGGGTAAACCGACATACCCGACCGGGTATGTCCAGAAATGTGGCTTTCCGGGAAATTTCCTAAGATACCCGATCGGGTATCCTATATACCCGGTCGGGTATCAGCCCCTGCAGCTCCCAAAAGCTTATAAATACACCCTTTTCCTTCACAATAAGATATCCAATTCCTTTGTACATCTAAGCTCAGTATAGAATAGCTCTTTCTTTATATTTTTCATCATGTTTAGTCTCCAAATGAGGAGCTAAACTCTTTCATCTTGGTTTTGCTACTTTGAAGCTTAATGAATTTGTAAGTAGTGAGTTATTTTCTTTAATCTTCTTCCTTGAATATTAATTCTTTCTTTCAAAATACTATCTCTATATCAAAGTTGGGGAGTGTTACTAAGATGACAATTAGTTAACATATTGACATTGGTTATAGTAATAGCTATTTCTTCCTCTATGATAATATTGGGGAGTGTTACTAAGATGACAATTAGTTAACATCTTGATATTAATCATAGTAGGATTCATATATTTTAATATTCTTCCTTGAGTATTAATTAATTCCTATTCATATTTCATGTTAATATCTTAAACATTACTTAAAGTATCAACTAGTATTGTTTCTCATATTAATTATTACTAGAATCAATCGGTTAATACGTTTGTTATTAATCCGGTTCTTTCAACGGTAGTAAACTTGGAATATTAATGCATGCATCTCATGGTTAGTATGCCAAGGGGAATTAATTATATTGATAAAACCAATAAACCGCTTGTGTTGAGGTTATCAATCTCAATCGTTTTCATCTTAAGTTTATTGCTACTATCAAGTTAATATACGGCGCTTGTTCTATATTGACTCGATAGTAAGTTTTATTAATGAACGCATCTCGTTATTAATAACTACACTCGATGAACTGGATATACTCCTCGATTGAGTATTCGAGAGGAAGATAGTTAAAGATATAACCGGGATCGACGAACATTTCATTAAGTGGATAAAAGCGAAACCAAGTCTTCATCTCATTGAATTAAACTCATATAGGTTGTTTATCTTAGTGTCTTTAAAGCAAACAAATCTAAACCCCCCTTTTTGTTACTATTTATTTAAAAGAAAAGTATTCCTTTCCCTGTGGATACGAACCTTACTACACTATATTACGTATTAGTGTTGTATTGATTAATTATTTTGAGTGCACCTAACGACAAGTGCACGTCACTGCCCCAGCCAAGGTTCAGAAGCTGGTGGCAAAGAAATCTGTTATAAAGAGAAAGGCACCTTCCCCTATCTCTACAGAAAGCACCCCCTCTGCCTCCCCCATTGCATAGAAGGCAAAGATTCTGACTCCTGCAGTACAAGAGGAGCTGGAGGATTCTGTCACATCTACTCCAGCCAACAGAAATGCTTGGCAAGGCAAGAGGATTGTTTTTGAGTCAAGTGATTCTGAAGAGGAAGTAGTAGTACTGGATGCTACTGTTCAGGGGGAATCTCACAGATCTCCCTCTGCAACCATACCTGATCGACCCATGATGCTCTCCTCACCAGAACATCATGAAGCAAACAGAACCCATGAGCACTCAGAACCCCAGGAGAATGTCTCCTCTGCTCTTGACAAAGAATTCCTCAGGGTTCTGGCTTGGAGGAGTGGAGAGTGGGATCTCTCTCTGACCTAATCAGATTGCTCCCCATCTTTATCAGTGAAGAAGCTGCAGTCCTCAGGTGGACTGGTACAGAAGATGTTGAGCTATGCCTCAACAAGGACTTCCTTCTATCTGTTCTTGCAGACAAGAAAAAGAAGGAATGCAAAGGCAAAAGCAAGCACACTCATGACACCGAAGAAGAACATGTCAAGGCTCTGACAGAAGATCAGATGCCATCCTTTGATGAGTGGCTGATTGAGAAGAAGAGGAAGGAATCTCTCATCAAATTTCGCCATAGCGCTCATGGAGAAGGGGAACCCTCCACTGCTAATGATCTTCCCCTGGCCATGGAGAAGCTCATCAAAGAATGGAGGGACTCAAATTTCACAGAAACTCTGCTTGAGGTAATTCCTGAATCTCAACCCTCACCCAAAATCCCAACTCCTTTTAATACTCCACCCCAATCACCTCACCAGAAAACCCCATCTCCTCAGAAATCCCTTCCACTACAGAAAACAACTCCTCAACAGAATACCCCCTCACCCTCATTTCAGAAAACTCCTTCTCAATCTCAACAGAATTCCCCTTCACCTCCCAAGTCTAAACATCAAGTCACTCCACAAGCGTCCCTTTCACCACACCAAACCCCAGCTCAGCTAAAACCTGTCTGGTTCTTAAGAGATTCTGATCCTACAACCATCTCCCCCATCTCTGCACCACAAGGATATTTCAGGCATTCTATTGCCTCCAATCCCTCCTTCCGGAAGAAGAAAAAGGTACTCAGGAACATAATCCCAATCTACTCCTCTTACGAAGACTCCTCTGACATGGATGGCTTCATTGTCAGCAAGTCCTACAAAGCTACCTCAAAGAGACAGAAGACCCCCCCTCTGACTCAACTCGAGCATGAACTCCTTGTCCAATCCCTCTCCTATGTTCAAGAGCATCACCCTGTGCCTAAGGGAAGAGGTTTAGAGCTGCCTTACTCTGCTGGACAAGAGAATCAGATACCCTTCAATGACTTTGTAGCAGCAGCAGAGGACTTTGGAGGTCAGATGTTAGAAGGTATGAACAAACTCATCATGATCAATGATAAACATTATGAGTCTGCAATATGTGGATGACAATGTGAAATCCGGCTTCAAACACATGTCTGCTACTCTATCAAATGTTCTTAAGGACTTCATGTCCTCATCTAATGTCAAGATCAATGTTGTGTCTACTGAAGTGGAATCTATAAAGACTGTTCTGACTGCCATGAATCAGACCCTGAATTCCCAACACACCACACTTTCAAACCTTTCCCAGGCAGTGGCATCTCTTCAGAAATCTGATTCTGTACTTCATGCAAGGTTAAGAGAACTTAACACCATCTGCAATGATCATTCTACTCAAGAACAGCTCCTCCTAGTTGCAGACAAAGAGCGATATCAGAAGATGGTTCTCTTAGAAGCCAGCAACAAAGATGTCTTGTCTGCCATCCAGAAACAACATGGGCTGATTGAAGGCCTCACATCTGTCACTCAAACCTTACCAGAAACCCTGGAACAGATTGCCTCTACTCAAGCCACAGAATTTCAGAAACTCTCCCTTCTGCTTAGTGATCTAGATGATGCCAAAAGGGGGGAAGAAGATCCTCATCTGTCTAAACCCAGGACCACCAGAGCCTCATCATCTGCTGAACCAGTTTTGGATCCCACTCCTTATTTTGAAGCTGCCCTCCAGAAGAAACGGCTAGCTGGTATCCCTAGACCTCCATCTCCACAGAGGAAAGGAACTAAGAAGAAGAAAGCTCTAAGCTTTAAAGAATGGAGACTGGGAGGATCTCAAGTGATGACCAAAATCCAATTTGAGGAAATGAAGCAGAAGATGACCTCCACACAACAACATAACCTTTATCTGGACCATGATGGTCATGTAAAGGTTAGACATGGTGGATCTCTGGAGGAGGCAGAGTTCTGGTTTCACAACAGCATTGTACCAGGAAAAGATATTCATGAAGGTGTTCTGAACTACCTAGACTGCAAGCTCTCACCCGTTTGGGCTTCTTACCAGAGATCTGGTCATCTAGTTGGAATCAGAGAAGAGGTGAATGCAGAGCTAAAGAGGCTACAAGGATTGGATGAACAAGCAAGAGCTGAAGCTACAAAGACTATTATGTAATCAGATATCCTTGTAATCTACCTTAATAAAAGAACTTCTCTGCCTCACACTTTGTAAGGCAATTCCTCAATCTCGGTCTTTTCTTTTGTTTCTGTATGATTGTTTTTTATTTATTATCTGCTATCTGAATGTACTGTACTCTTACTATTTTCCTATGCCAAGTTGCCCACAAAGATTTTAATGAAAGTTTTAAACTTCAATTCTTTGTGGTGAAGGCACTTCTCTGGAAATAGTTAAAGGGTTTTGGCATCATCAAAAAGGGGGAAATTGTAAGGAATTTTTGTAATTAGATTTTGATGATGTTATATTAATTAGGACTTTAGAGTACCCCTCTTTAGATTTAATGTATTAGATCTTTCCTTTGTAATAGTTCTTAGTATAATCGACTGGCAGAAGGCCTCCAGACCAGAAGGCCTCCAGACCAGAAGGCCTCCAGAGAAAAAGACCACCTAACAGAAGACCTTTGGTTCTCTGCTTCAGAACAGAAGACCTCAGGGTCTCTGTTGGCCTTTACTCTGACAGAAACCCTCCTGGTTCTCTGTTGGATATTTCTTCTACAGAAGTGCTCAAGACCTTCTCTGATCAACCCTCTGCTAAAGACTCCAGAGGGCCTGACACTTAGAGGAATTTCACCAAGCCGGGAAACCAACTGAAAGATTCCTTCAACGGCTAGGAGTCTTGAACGGAAAAGCTACAGTACGCGCATTAAATGCACATTTAATGCCTCCCGTACTCTGTAGAGTAATTGCAGATGATTGGCCGCAATGTCAGGATAACTTTATCCCAAAATAGTAACCCGCCAACTTTACCGGGTCCTACTGGTCAAGTCAACTGCCCGCTCATTTAATGCAGTTATCCTCCTTCTCCTCCAACGGGAAGACAACCTCAGTATAAAAGATACACTCCGAAGAACAACCAGATAACTTTGCAAAAACTTTGCAATAACTTTTGCTACAACTCTGCGCATACAAGATATTCAAACGCTAAAAACGCAAAAAGCCTCCTTGAGATTAAAACTTCATCATCTTCTACAAGAGAAGGCAGACGTTGGAAAAACTCTTACTTCCAACTCAAAGAAAAGTTCCAAGTGTTTTTCAACTCTTCAAGCTCTTCAGATACAAATCTTTTGTAACGAAGCAAGTTGGAGGAACCGCTGTTCTCAACAGAACCTCTTCTTTCACAAGAAGGACGTCCAAGTACCTGGAGCAGTGAAGTGGTGATACTTCCGGGAAAGCTCAGTGAAAGGACCAGTCTTAGGGAAGCCGGAAGTGCATCCAAGAAGACATCTACACTTGAAGAAGACGTGGAGAGCTTCTTAAGTGATAGGGCTAAGGCCTTGTAAACAGACGTTTTTACAAGCTTAGTGGAACAATGGACTAGAGGAACAAGTTGTTCCTTGAACCACTATAAAAAGCCCTGGTGTCATTTAGTTACGGTATTATATTCATTTCTTTTATTTGAACTGCTTAACTCCAAAGACTTGGTATCTGTGTTCAACAGAACTTGTCTTGTGAGTTAACAGAAGGCCTACCGCCTTTGCTTCTCTGAGACTATACTAACAGAACTCCCTACCAGAACCCCATCTGCTGCCAGTCTGTTCTGCCATCAGAACAGGCTATTCTGTTAAATCTGGTACTTAGCTTGAAAAAGTTTAAAACCAATACAGTCTATTCACCCCCTCCCTCCTCTAGACTGTATCCAGTACAACCGGGACCAACAGAGTCTGAAAGAGCTTCTTCTACAGTCATAGGTTCCATTTTAGACATGTAACATGCAAACATTGCATCTCTTCTTGTCGTAGCAGATCTGGTTTGTACACCACTTCTGATTTGTCCAATCACTTGATTTGGGGGATGATCTCTTAACCAAGTTAAATCAGGTTCTGATAACGGTTTTATGGGTCTTTCTTGCTCGTCTTCATATTCTTCATCACTATATCTGTCTTGCAGAGTTGGGATTCTGAATGTGAGTTGGTATAGCAGAGTTGGTAACCAACTCTGGTGTGACCATTTCTGGTGTGACCACTTCTGGTGTGACCACTTCTGGTGTTTCTTCAAGGTTCACTTCTTCCAGTTTCTCTGTTAGATCTTCAATAGAGTCGTGATCATCGAACTTGACAGGAATAGATTCTTCAACAAGTAGAGTCCTTTTGTTGAGTAATTTATAGGCTTTGCTTGTGCTTGAGTAGCCTAAGAACATTCCTTCATCAGCTTTCTCTTGGAACACTTTGAGATGTTTCTTGCCATTGTTGAGTACATAGCATTTACATCCAAATGCATGA